TCCAATCTCTTCTTTGATTCTTTTTTTTTTCCTTCTGGTACCAGAAATCAACTCAGCCTTGCACTTGCCAGGCAGGTATGGCACTGCTGAGCTACATCCCCACCCCGCTTTGATTCTTTTTTAATCCTTTTCTTCTCTCTCTCCCATCTTTTGTTCCCCTTCCCATTTGAAAAAGAGTTCCCTACTCCCTATTACTTACCCTTTATTTTGCTCTTTATTTATATTTTGGGTTTCTCAACCATGCCATATGTAAACTTTTGTGTCCGACGTATTTCACTTGACATCTCTGTCTCGAGGTGCATCGATTTACCTACAAATGTCTCAAGTTTGTGCTTTATTTTGCCTATAATTAAATTTTAAAATTTTTATTTATTCATTTTTGTACCAGGGATCAAACTCAGGACCTTGTGCTTTCAAGGTGGGCGTGGTGCCACTGAACTACATCCCTGGCCCTTTTGCCTATAATTTTAAAAGTAGCTTTGTGGCTGATTTCCTTTTACCTTCTGGGATTGTTCGGAGAAAGAGTTGGAGTGTTTCCGTCTCTCCACAGCGGCCCTGCTAGTTGGAAGCCAGGTGTGGTAAGTCCTGGTGTAGAAGTGATTCCTACCTCTTCCTGTCAGTGTGGCCTGATGGGAACCAGGTTTTGGCAGTTTGAGTTCGCTAGTGGTTTATTCTGTGGGAGTCACTGGGCGCCCGGGACGGCGGGACACAGGTGTGTGGGGTGTGGTGTTGGGAGCGCGCTGGGCTCTGGCCTGGGATCTGGGTGCCCGCTGGGAGCTGGCCCGGGTGAGCCCCGACTTCCCGCCACGCTCACATTGAAAGTGTCAGGGACGCTGGCACAGACATCGAGGTGAGCAGCTGCCACCTTTCGTCTCCTGGGCCACTGGATCGAGTACACTGTCCGTGCTCCCCAGCACTGGTGCGGGACTTGACGTTTGGACTTTGATCCTGGAACGTGAGTCAAGTTGTCCTGGTAGCCAAAGTGGTTTTCAGTTTGAAACCCGTGTCTTGAGATGAGTGCACTATCAATGAAGCAGGTACTGGAGAGTCTTCAGGGAAAGACACAGAAGGGGTAGGAACAGCAGCAGCTGGCCAGGCGTGATGGCACACGCCTGTGGTCCCAGCACTCAGGAGGCTGAGGCAGGAGGACTGCTGAGAGTTCAGAGCCAGTCCACACCTCCTCTGCCCCCTCGTTCTACCCAGCACTTAGCTTCACACGATGCACAGCTGTGTCCTGTTGCAGGTTTCAAGGAGGCCTCTGCACAGACCTGTGAGCTGTCGGGTGGACAGGTGCTTTGACATGAGGAGGCTATTTGTCTGCAGGTGTGTGTCCCGGGAACGGGCGTATTTGTCGGGTGAGCAGGCGTGTGTGTCCGGGAGTGGGCGTGTGTGTCCCGTGCGCAGGCGTGTGTGTCCCGGAGCGGGCACGTGAGTCCCATGAATGGAAGTGTGTGTCCCGAGAGCGGGCACATTGTCCCGTGCACAGGCGTGTCTCTCGGATGGGGTTCTCCCGGGGAAGGTGCTCTCCCATCCCGTCCCACGGAGGAAATGTGTGGTAGTCACGCCTGGTCTCAGTGGCTTCTGCCTGTCTAGCTCCCGTGCGACCTGACCTGCCGGCCGGCCAAAAGTGGGGCCTCCATCTTCAGGGCCAGAGCTACGGGGAAGCAGCTGGGAAGCAGCCCGGGGCAGCCAGGCTGCTGTTGCAGGGCGGCCACTGTGCGTGTCCTGACACTGAAGGGTAATTAATTGTGAGACCTAAGTCCATGTCTGAAATTTCCCTGGGCTTGAAAGGTTCATGTACATCTTACCATTTCACACTGATCTCTTAAATTTTGTCACTTTTTACCTTTTGGTGTACGGTTGACTTTTTTCTCAAATGAAAATTTTATGTTTTTTTCTTACTATAAAATCTGTGACTAAATAACTAAATTTAAGCTCCTCTAATTGGATAATAATTTATTTTGGAACTTGAAGTTAACATAAACTTTCAACATAGAAAGTATCTTAGAAATGTCATCTGTGAGAAATAGTTGTTTCTTCTAAAAAAAAAAAAGTCACTGACATTTTCTTTCCTTCTCATTGTTATGACTGATTCTTTTTGTTTGTTTTTGAGATGGTCTCGCTATGCAGTCCAAGCTGGCCTTGAACTCAGTGTGTAGCCCAGGCTGGCCTGGAACTCGCCGTGATCCTCCTGCCTCAGCCTCCCCCGGGCTGTGATTGCAGATGTGTGCTGCTACATCCAGCTCTGTTCTGCCTCCCCCTCCCCCGAGACAAAGTGTCACTCTGTAGTTCAGGCTGGCTTTGGATTCACTGTGCAGTCCAGGCTGGCCTCCAACTCACAGTGATCCTCCTGCCTCCATATCCTGAGTGTTGGGATTGCAGATACGCACCATCATGCCCAGCTTGTTCTGCCTAATTCTTAAAGGCTATTTTCTAGTTGATTAGAGACTTCGTATTCAAACAGAAAATGAGAAGGAAATGTGTGGCTTCCAGGATTGAACACACACTCCCATCCTTGTCATATGGCTGTCTCCAGGTGTCACGTACTGCGTTAGTTTGGTGCTCTGAGCTTAGGTGACTGTTTTCCTCTTTATTTTTATATGTTTGGTACCGGGGATTGAACTCGGGTCCTTGCTTGCAAGGCTACAGTGATCCTCCTGCCTCCATATCCTGAGTGTTGGGATTGCAGATACGCACCATCATGCCCAGCTTGTTCTGCCTAATTCTTAAAGGCTATTTTCTAGTTGATTAGAGACTTCGTATTCAAACAGAAAATGAGAAGGAAATGTGTGGCTTCCAGGATTGAACACACACTCCCATCCTTGTCATATGGCTGTCTCCAGGTGTCACGTACTGCGTTAGTTTGGTGCTCTGAGCTTAGGTGACTGTTTTCCTCTTTATTTTTATATGTTTGGTACCGGGGATTGAACTCGGGTCCTTGCGCTTGCAAGGCAGGCCACCGAACCACTGAGCTAAATCCCCGGCCCTGTTTTCCTCTTTATGATGTGAGCTTGTGTCCCTCCTCGGTGTTGGTGGAGCCACGTGTGAAGAGAGCCATTCCCCAGTGTACCAGACTCTTCTTCCCTTCCTCCACCTTGGTGCTGGTCTCCTGAGAACCCTGGGTGCAGTCCACAAACACCCCGCCCTCCCGGAAGCCTTTGTCCTTGTCGGTGGCCGCAGTGGGGCAGGTCAGCACTCACGTCACGCAGCGGGTTGACGAGCACTCAGTAGGAGCAGTGTGTGCACCCCAGGCCCCATCTAAGGCCGTGTCTGCTCTCAGCAGCAGCCCCAGTGCCCAGACCAGTGGTGGCGAACCTATGGCACGTGTGCCACACCGGACCGCTTGTATCATTGAAAGCTCTAAAAGGTTTGCCATCTCAGGTCTGGACAGTGCTGGCTCGTTTGGTGAGGGATAGCTGGCAGGGTGGCTCTGGGTTCTGGGCCCAGCGTATTATGATTCTGCTGAGGAGAGGGAGCAGGAGGTGCAGGCTAGGTGGGGCTGGTGTTCTCACACCCCTAGCAGTTGCAAGGAAGGCCACAGAAGGGGGATAATGGCCAAGGACCCAAGCAGTCTGAGGAGAGGAAGAAAAACCTCTTTGCTGCCTCTTTTCCCCACCTGTGAAATAGCAGCCAGTCACTGTATTCCGCAGGTCATTTCTCTGGTGATGGAGGGAAGGGATGTGGTACTTTGAGAAGGTCAAGAGGAGCAGGAAGTAAGCTTTCACCCAGTCTGGCCCCGAGGCTGCTTGAGGCAGGTGGGGTGGCCCCATGAAAGGCTGTAGTCTGTGCCTGTGTGCAGCCAGCTGTGTGTGGCTGCCCTGTCACACACACTGACTATTCAGGTGAGTGCTACCAGTTGGCTGATCAGCTAGGAAAATGGAGTGTTTGAGGGGGAGAGATCAGCTCTAATGGCTCTACCCTTCTCAGGTGGACCTCGGAGTTGGATGGATTCCCCAAGAATTCGAGTACTGGAATTTGAACCCCCAGGACCTCAGCATGTGGCCTTGTTTAGAAATAGGATTGTTGCAGGTGTAGCTAGTGAAGGCGAGGCCCTGAATGCCAGTGTGACTGGTGTCCTTGTGAGAGAGGACCTGTGGACACAGATCCACAGGGAGGACATGGAGTGAGGACAGAGGCAGAGACAGGGTGAGGCTTCCACAAGCCACAGAATCCAGAGGCTGCTGCCACTGAGGCCAGGCGTGGGCTGGAATGGACGCCTCGCTCTTGGACTTTGGCCTGAGCTGCAGAGGACAGATTTCTCCTGTAGGCCGTGTGCCTGGGGCACTTGTTAGGGCAGCTTCAGCCTCTGAAGTGGGACTCTCTTTGGGGAGGGAGCAACCAGAAGAATCTCTCCTCTTCCGATGGGTTCCTGCTCCTGGAAACTCTCAGGAACTGAGCTTTGGCCCAGGCTCCACCCTGGTCCGGGCAGCAGCCCCAAGCAGGCTCGAAGCACCATTTGTGTACTTGGTGAGAACTCAGAGTTTTGGAAGTCTTTAGGACTAAGACTATGAATGTCTGTTTTGCATTCTTATTGCTCTCTGTTTTGTGCATATGTGTGTGTAGGAAGTTTTATTTATTTATATATTTTAAAGAATATTTCTTCAGGCTTGAGGGATAAAGGCCACACTTGGATTATTTAACCTAGACTTCCAGTTTGGGTGAGGAAGTTGCTTTAATCTATGATGGGTGATTTTATTATTTCTGGCATATGTTAGTTGCTGTTGTGTGATTCTGTTCTGGACCCCAGGCCCATTGTAAATTGGAAACTTCGTTCAGCCGAGGACAGGGCTGGTGTCCACCCGTGGTTTGTGGGCCTGTGCAGAGGAGGGCGCTGTGCTTCCTCCACACCCTGTGGTCTAGGTTGTGTGTTCAGCTCCTGCCATCAGCACTGTCCCCACGAGCCCACCCTGCGTGGCCATGCAGGGAGGACCTGCTGGCTGCTTTCAGGGCACCTGTCCATGTTGCACGTGTGAGTGACTCTTTGCTTCTCGTCCCCACAGAGTCTGTAGAAGAGGCAGCACCAAGACTTCCAGATGAACAACCGAAAGGAAGATATGGAAATCACATCCCACTACCGGCACCTGCTTCGTGAGCTCAACGAGCAGAGGCAGCATGGGGTCCTGTGCGACGTCTGTGTTGTGGTGGAGGGCAAGGTCTTCAAGGCGCACAAGAATGTCCTGCTCGGGAGCAGCCGCTACTTCAAGACGCTCTACTGCCAAGTGCAGAAGACATCCGACCAGGCCACGGTCACCCACCTGGACATCGTCACAGCCCAGGGCTTCAAAGCCATCATCGACTTCATGTACTCTGCCCACCTGGCCCTCACCAGCAGAAACGTCATTGAGGTGATGTCTGCCGCCAGCTTCCTGCAGATGACAGACATCGTGCAGGCCTGCCACGACTTCATCAAGGCTGCACTGGACATCAGCATCAAGTCGGACACCTCAGATGAGCTCTCAGAGTTTGAGATCGGTGCCCCGTCCAGCAGCAGCACCGAGGCTCTGATCTCGGCTGTGATGGCCGGGAGGAGCATCTCCCCGTGGCTGGCTCGGCGGACTAGTCCAGCCAATTCCTCTGGAGACTCGGCCATTGCCAGCTGTCACGAAGGCGGGAGCAGTTATGGGAAGGAGGACCCCGAGCCCAAGACTGATGACATATCTTCGCAATCTCTGTGGCCTGGAGATGTGGGCTATGGGCCTCTGCACATCAAGGAGGAGCAGGTTTCGCCTTCTCATTACGGGGCGGGCGATCTGCCCTCTGCCAAAGATGGTGCAGCGCAGAACCCCTTCCCGGAGCAGGGTGCTGGCGAGAGCTGGCAGCCCTCGGGCCGGAGGAAGAACCGGAAGAACAAAGAGACCGTGCGGCACATCACGCAGCAGGTGGAGGACGACAGCCGGGCCGGCTCTCCAGTGCCCTCGTTCCTTCCCACACCAGGATGGCCATTCAGCAGCCGAGACTCAAGTAAGCCCTTCTTCGTGGTGAGTGGTCTTCAGCCCCCAGGGCACCGGTGGCCCACGGGCTGTGGCTGCAGTGGTGCCTTGCCAGCTCACACTGTGGCTCCCCACGGTGGCTCCCTGTCCCAGAGAATCTGTGTGCCTCTGGGAAGGCAAATGATTCATCTCAAAGGGCAGGGCAACTCGGGCCTCGAGGTCCGTGCCCATCAGTACAGCCTGGCACCCCAGACCCAGAGGCTGCCTGGAGTGGGGCTCCTCTGAGCTCTCTGGGCATGTGTGGGGTATGGATTTGGTGCCCTCTCTCACGGGAACTGATTGGACAGTCAGTGGGTGCCAGAGTGGCCGGCAGCTCAAGATGCCCTCAGTGTGCTGTCCGTGGTCACTGTGCATGATCTCTGCTGCGTCAGTGGAGTCAAGCGGAGGTGGTTGTGAAGGACCTCACTCCTCAGACGCACGTGCTATATTTGCCAATAAGCGTGGGTTCCCACAGCTCAGCTGGTACCTGCTCTCCAGTGCAAGGATCTCTCCTGGGACCCTTCAGAGGATTCACCGTGCTGGTTTTGAGGCCCCCACACCCCGCCTATTGGAGGTGGTGCCCATAGCTTGCGGATGGTTCAGTGTTTGTCCCCAGACTGGCAGATAGGAGATGAAAGGTTTACTGAATATGAGGTGCTGATGCTGTGCTGAGTGCCTGGCAGTGATGGCAGCTTGCACTGCCCTTTCGGAGGAGCAGATGGGGGACCAGGGCTACAGGCCATGTCAGAGAGGGAAGTGACCAGAGGAGGGGTGGGGGCTCCCTGGCCCATGCTTACCAGGGGAGCCCCTGCAGAAGGAGCATTAGAAATCACCGGGCGAGCCTTAAGCAGTTAGAGGCGGCCAAAAGCAGCAAACCTGAAACATGTGCCTGATGTGCTGGCCTGGGAGGGCTTCTTGGGGCAGGTTAGGCAGCAGGTGGGGCCCAGGACACTGTGGCTTCTCCTCTCCATAGCTGAGGTGTCTCAGGAGCTGGGGGTGAGATGGGAAGGGGCCCCGAGAGCCCCAAGCCTGGGAACCAAGCCAGACCTGTTTCACAGTGGCTCTCTCATTGTGGCAGTGTGCAGAACAGAAACTGAACTGTTACAAACCTTTGTTTTTCAGTTCTGTGGTTTGAACCCAGGGGTGCTCTACCATTGAGCCACTCCCAAGTCTTTTCTGTGCTTTTCTCTTTTTTTTGGGTACTGGGCATCGAACTTGGGACCTTGTGCTTGCGAGGCAGGCTGCAGAACCACCGAGTTAAATCCCTGGCCCTTTTCTGTTTTGAGCAGGGTCTCAATAAATTGCCCAGGCTAACCTTGAACTTTCAGTTTTCTTGCCTCAACCTTCCAAATAGCCAGGATTTTAGACATATGCCACCATGCCCAGCTCCTTATAAGCTTTTTAAGTGTACAATTCATACCGTTCACTGAATAGTTCCTGTTGGGAACTTCTGTATCTCCTAGAGGGAAACTTTGTATCCCTATCTTGTATCCATCCCTTCCCTGCTCAGGAAAGCCCCTCTGTTCCCATGGCTGTGCTTGCTGTATTCCTCCTCGGCCCTTTGCTGCCTGTGTTCCTGCGCTGAGCCCAGGCTCGGGCCGAGGCTCGGGCCCAGGCCCAGTGCAGTGGGCTTAACTCGAGGTTTCTCCCCCGCAGCAGGGTTGCACTCTGGGTAGATGTCCTGGCCCCTGTGGGGTGTTGGGCAACAGCCCTGGCCTCTACCCACTAGATGGCCAGTGGCACTGCCTGCGGTCACGACAATCATGTGTCTCTCTTGTGGTGCATAGCTGCCTCCAAGGGCAGCCCCCGCACTCCCCCAGCCTTTGGCACAGAGATGAACCAAATCAGAAGGATGTTGTTGTTGAGTGGACAGAAAAATTGATCATTTTCTGCTGGGTGTCTCCGTGCATAGGCACCCAGGGCAGTAGACAGAGATTGTGATGTCCCATCTGCTCCTAACTTTATTCATAATCTTTCACCAGCTCCAACCAAAACCTGAGAAGCAGCAGCCTCCATGGGGTGCCAGGGCTTCCAGGGCAGTCCTAGGGTGCGCAGCCCCTCGGGCTGGCTCTAGGCTTGGCGCCTCCCGCCATCCCAGCACGCTTGTGCATGCCCGTGGGTACCTACTGGTGCCGACCTGGGCCTTTACATCCTGAGGAGCGATCAGCTGCTAGGCAGTAGGCTTTTGCTTGAGCCCATGGGCCGGATATTGCAAATGCAGTTGGAAGCAGAAGGTGTTTTCAGAATCCAACAAGTGATTTCGCCTGTGTACTTTCCTCAGACTCTTAAATCCTCAGGTTACCAAGGCAACCGAGAACCGCTTCTGCTAGAGGATTCTGAGTACTAAGACAAGGACATGGGGTGTGGGCTCAAGCGTGGGACGATCCTGTGGAGGTGTGGTGGCCAGTCAGTCCCTGAGGTTCCCACCCTCATCTTTGGGCTGGGGTTTAGAGTATAAATGATTATTCTTGGTGGAGGTCAGTTTGTTTTCATTAAAGATTTATTACATCTTAGAGAAGAGTATTTTTATCATCATTCCACTTATAGGAGAAAAGGCCCTTTTCTGGTTTTTCTTTTATGTAAGACAGGATCTTGCTGTGTAGTCCAGACTGGTCTCAAATTTGAGGTCCCCCTGTCTCATCATCCTGAATGCTGGGATTGTAGGTGTGTACCACCACACCTGGGCAAAAGGCTACTTTCTAAAGGAACATGTCAGGCAGTTACTGCAGATCACTGGTGCACTTGATGTGTGCCAGTCAAGCTTACCCACCTTGTTTGCTGTCTGTGCCCCCGCCTTGGCTCCTAGGGCCCTGGGATCCATTAGCTGTTCAAGGTGGTTTTCCAAGCAGAAGCTCCAATGCATTCTGACCTAGCAGCTTTGAAGAAATAGTATCTGTTGTAGTTTCCTTTTGAACTACAGCAGTTCACTCATGGGTGAGCTGATTGGCATAGTGTTAGAATGGGCAGCTCTCCCTCGCCACCTCATCTGCAGGGTGAGGGCTGTGGGTCCCCAGAGAGACCACTGAGGCTTTGCCGAGTTGAGTTGGGAGTGCTAGAGGGTAGTCCAGGGCCCTGACCAAATGTTCCTTGCTCGTTCCTGAAAGTTCTGCATGAAGAAAGCTGTGTAGCTAGAATAAAGCCATAGGGTTTGTAAAATAAATGTGCCAAACTTTGGTTAGGTTAGAACTTGACATGTTGGGGCTTTTGAGAACACATCGGGACCACAGAACAGCTCCAGTTGGCAGCCGGCTCCCTGAAGGCCCCTGTCTGCCCACAGCCTGGCAGCCTCTGTGTTCAGGGAGTGCTGAGTGGTGCTGGCTCTGCAGATGGGGCTCCTCTCGATGCTCCCTGGACCAGGCCAAGCCCCCTCTTCTGGCTCCTGGCAGCTTCCTGGAGCTCTGTGCTGGAGGTGGAGCTGCAGCACCGTCCCAAGGGTGGGCAAGGAGGAGCCCCACAGGGGTGGTAGGACTGGGCTGTGAGTTCGTCCTGAGCTGCCGCATGTGCAGGGACCTGTCTGTCCCTGGTGAGGACACAACTGAGCCCACGTTCTCCTGGTGCCAGGGGCTCCACTGTCCCTCACCCACTGACGCGGTCACCTTTCATGGCTGCCGTGTGGAAAGCGGACAAATCTGATCATCTCTGGAAAGAGTCATCTGTGCTGCCATGTCCTTGATATTTGGGGTGGAAGGGTTGGGTGACAAGGTAACGCCATGTGTTCTGGTGCATTTTGAGGTGCGACTGGTCTGGACTGGTCTCCACACCCACACCCGGCCCCAGAGCTGGGACCCTCCCTGCTGCGTGTTTCCTCTGCTGTCTGAGCACAGGTTGCTGAACCAGCTCTGACTGGGTCATGGTACCTGTGCGGGTGGCCGCTGGTGACCAGACCGCATCACTGCTGAGGAGTTTCTGCTGCCGTGAAATGGGAGAGCTCAGCCGCTTCCTGTGGACCCAGAAGAGGAAGTGCTGGTGAAGCGGAGCGGGGGACAGGAGGGCCACTGCAGGAGCCCACGGGCCAGAGGGTGGATGGTGCCGGTCCAGGTCCAGGTGGAGCCCAGAGGCCCTGTGTCCTGCCCGTGAGAGACTGCTCGCCGCTAATGGCTGAAGCTGCCCTTGCAAATTGCTGCCCCGCGTCTCCTCCACACAGAGTGCTCTCTTGCCATGGGGTTTGCTGTGAAGCTGAATTCACAGAGGCTGCTGATGCGAGCCAGCCATTCAGCAGGGTGAGGAGACAGGACCCAAGCTTGTCTGGTTGCACAAGATTCCATCACCCATCCCGAAAAGCCCAGCCGCCTGCCTACCCTCTGCTCTGTGGAGGGTTGTGAGTGGGGCCGGAGCAGAGCCGGGAGGGCCGGGAGGGCACCCTGGGCGTGGCAGAGGCCGGGGGGGTGGGCAGGGGAAGTGATTGTAGTGGACACTGAGCCAGCTGTGCAACTGCCACCTCCTGCAGCACTTGTTTGGGGTGCAGTTTCTGCCACACGGGTCTTGGCTGTCTGTGGGTGCCCTCTGGGTCACGGTCCTGTAGAAAGGACTCTGCCAGCCCTGGGCCGCCCTGGCTGTCCTCTCATCCAGTGTGCTGATCTCCGTGCTTTCTTGCTTACTTCTTAGGCCGGATGGCTCCTGCCTTCTTGTGGGACCTGAGCCTAGGGCTTCGCTTGCGCTGAGCCGCATCCTGGCCTTTACATTTTTTTTTTTAATTTTGAGGCGGAGGCCCAGGCTGTGATCCTTCTGCCTCAGCTTCCCAAAGTACTGGACTTACGGGTGTGCGCCACCACGCCTGTTTTTGTTCTCTTTCATTCTTTTCTGACGTTTGGAGGCCCTGCCCAGCACCCAGCATAAGGGCCGTGTTGGCTCTGGTTGGTGGCTGCCTGGGCTCCTGAGAGAGGGGCCAGGTCGGCTGTGTTGAAATGCACTGACTAGTGGCTTTGCTCTCACACATTTTCTGCAATCTGTAAAATTCAGATTAAGATGAAGATGTATCACTTGGGAATCATA